GGCTGCGGGTACATGATGTCAATCCTGATCCGGACTTGCGGAAGGTCGAGCTTCTTGAGCTGGTTCGCCCTCTGAAACAGACACGCGAGTATGTGTTGGACAAGGTGGCACAGGAGGCCGGTCATGAAGTACTGAGGTTGCCCCCATATCATTGCGACCTCAATCCGATTGAAATGGTTTGGGCAAACATGAAGACGCACGTCCGCCAGTTCAACAACACTGGGCATCTGAATGACGTGGAAAGGCTGCTGCTGGATAGCCGAGACGCCGCGCCACCGGACTTGTGGCGAAACTGCTGCCGCCACGTGCGAGAACTGGAAGAGGTGTACTGGCGAGCAGATGGTATGATGGAGGACATCGAGCCAGTGATCGTGTCACTTCAGGATTCGAGCAGTGACGACAGTGACAGTGAAAGTGATTGAGGGCGCATGGGACCTACGATGGCTTCGGTGAACCAAACATACCCAATATACGAGTACGACTCCTGTGTTTCCTGTCTTTTGTAATTTGTATTACGAGTTACTGGTGGTAGATTTGTAGACACTAGCGGGTAATACGAGCAAAACATGTCATCACATTGAAATAGTATGTATATTTGTTAATTTCGATCAATGCTGCATTCATCGCTAAACACACGCTCATATAGCCAACTCGTGTTGGTAGCCTGCGCCGCTGAACACGCATGTCCTGCGGGTTGCCTACCTCCACAGGCATAATTCATCTCCGCCTCTCGTCACGCAGTCTAACCCGTCCACATGATACTTCGTGAGGATTACAACGTCACAGTCAATACTATCGAAAACGCGTTCACTCGAATGTCTGCGATAGCGAACCACAAACCAAGTGCTTCACGACAGTCGCCAGAACTTGTTACGAGCCACACGCCGAGCTCCTTCAAGAATTTCCTTGCATTGGGTCCGCACTCGCAGTCGCACGCACCTGCGGTTTCAAAAAACTTCGGCTGGAACCAAGCCCTATAGGTCTTGAACTAAAGTCACTGATGATGACTTGTGTCCATTTGCAGAATAGTTCATTTCCAAGTGATATTCGCTTTTATAGGTACCCTTTAATTCATCGGATCGATAGTTCGGTTAGCATACCAAACTTTATCCAACTTAATTTTTGTAGCAGGTAGGTATAAGTACCTACCTATTTATGTAATACACATTTGTGAGACTACAAATCTGCACTTGCCGCACCCAAGAGCGCCACTCTCCAGGCTTCAAGGCAATATTTTCTGTTTCCGAAGGGCTTGATTTTTTCTAAGCCATGCTTTGTCTCGTGCATATCTTGCGAAACATCTTGGAGTGAAGTCTAAAGATAAGAAAAACGGACTATAGCATTGCCTCAGCCATATTGGCACGCTACTGGCTGAAAATAAGTTGCTTAAAAAGACCCACTGAATCGCCACGATTTTAAGTGCATGTCATCTCTATGTATATAAGATCTCTATGCAGTGGGGGGGGGGGGCATATGTTACCTACCACCCTGTCGCGTTTTTTGCGTGTGAATAAACAACCGCGGCGCGTAGCGCCGCGCCGCTTGGAGTAGCTTTCTGTACATCAATTTTGGACAAAGTGTGAAGTTTTTGACCCCATGTCATGTCAGGTCAGGTCACCAGGTCAAGTTAACTGACCAAGCCTAAAAAAGTTTGCAATCATGTCCACTGTCCAGCCTGCAGTGTTTGTCAGAGAGGCTTTAAACTTGGTGGATTGCATGATGTTATGGGCACCTATAATTTGTTTATCTCGGATTTTTATATCCGTGACCTAAGGTCAGGCCAGTAGCGTGTCTCACCTTTCCATTAAAGTCAATGGAGAAAAATGAAAATGCCTCTAGATCCGTGTGTACGCATAGGAACAGTCCAAATATTTCAGAATCACAATGATTTGGACCACCCGTGACGACCAAGGTGTCTTTTTTGCTGATAGCCTCTAGAAAGGTCATCCGAGGTCATTTGAGGCTTTAAACAGATTTTTGCCAATAACTCTCGATTGGAATGAGATAGAACGCTGGGGATGGCCTCAATGTGTTTGTCTTGCCGAGACGAATCGACTGATATGCAACATGACCTTTTCCGGTCAGGTCATGACCTTGACCTGAGGTCAAATTTTCAAGTTGACCTTTCAAGGTCAAATTATAGTTCATTCGACGCATCTCGGCGGGAGGAACACGATTCTGGCAAAAGAAATGTCGTGGCTTTTTTTAAGTCAAAAGAAATTGTCGAAAAACACTTTTCGTAAAAACAGCTATTTCTTTGAGTTTTTGTCCTCTGGAGGCTAAACCGTTGACCTGAGGTCATTTTTTATAATGACCTTATCAAAAGAAGAGTTCAAAAGCTATCGATTGGTTTTCCATGCGTTTTTCTAGCTACATAGTTCCTGAGATAATGACATGTTCCCTGAAAAATATAATGACAATTCGCAAATTTTGACCTTTGATGACCTCTGGTGACCCCAATATTGCTCTTAGATGAAAAATGACTGAAATACTTTCAAACGTACGCATTAAGAGCTATCGACTGCTTTTTACCGCGTCTTTCTAGCCCTCTTAGTTTTTGAGTTAGAGGTGGGTGGTAACATATGCCCCCCCCCCCCCCGAGAGCGAAGCTGGCTGAGACCGCCACTGTGGGGCACGGGATAAATGATCATTTTAGATGATTTTTAGAATAAATTATTTTCATCACTAACCAGCGCCCTGATGGGAGGGGGGCATTTTGGCCCTCCCTCTGGTTTTTCTTGAATAGGGAAAAGACGGCGGCGCGCAGGCCGCTAAATTTTCAGTAGCTTTTGAGACATTAATTTGACGCCTTCATACAACATTTTACAGACTTACAAAAATACAACATTTTGGAAACTAGGATTTCATTTTTATGAACGACTTCTTGTCATTGTAAATTGGACTAGGTAATTTGACCTTGTTTGACCTCCCTGTGACGTCACAGGTCAAATATCAAGGTCATTGATATATTATCTTGTGCATCTCGATAAGCTCTTTCGAATGCCGTTTGAATTCTTTCCGATCCGGCCATTGGTTCCGGAGATACGACGGAACCAATGGCCGTCGTATCTGGTGGTGTCCCCCCCCCCCCCAACAGGACGTGGAACCTGTCAGACCTCAAAGGCGCGCGGGTTAGTTAACCCGGCGGCCGCTGGGTCTCCGCGCCACCCGCCAGCCGATTCACAGTAGGGTTTTTACAATCTAGCGCGACTTTATTCCAAAAAACCTTTTTTCGTTTTGGTTTATTTTTGAGTTGTCAGTTGAACTAAAAAATGTTTGAATTTGTCATGATTGGTATTGATTTGTCTGTATGTTTACAGCAAGACTAGGAAAAACGTGTCCAAAGCTCACCTTCATGCGTGACTGTTCAATGCTTGGTTCAATGGACTTAGTACTAAACCCGAAAGTATATCTCAATTGCATTGTTCTGTCCTGTTGGTAACGGGATGACAAAGAAACATTGTACCACAACCTTTACTAAGGTCACAAAATGGCATTTTCGAAGAACCCTTACAGACACCATATTAGGTGGGGGGCTATTTTTGCCTCCTCCCACGAGACCAGGGCCCTGTTTCACCGGTGATAGCAGCACGCTACTATCAAATTGCGCGAGCTGACGTAATGTGATGAGGTCACACTAATGACGTTTCGTGTAATTCGTGAGCTGCGTTTGGAACAGAGTTGCTGTCTCGTTGAATGCGTTTGATAACATTTGTTTGATCGCACGGCCGTGAAGATGTTAGCAGCAATATAAGATGACATCACACAGATTGACGGCGTCATGGTTTGTTGATGTTTCCATGGAAACCCAATTTGACACGTGTAATAGCAGCGTGCAGCGTGCGTTTAAAATACGCTTGTAGGTAACTTGGATTTTAATAGCATCTCTTAGATAAATGAGTATAAATGGCTTATTCTTAGTATTTTAGTAGGCTCTTAGATCATGAGCCTTAAGGACAGTGCATATATGGAATGACTCTTGCGCTGAAAAGCCGTGTTTTAACGGATGCCATACGAATACATGTCACATGATGATGATGATGATGATCACCGCTGAAACAGGGCCCTAGTTGCACGAGTAGCCGATAGTCGGCGCCACCGTCGCACTCGGCCGCAACCAGTATACTGGCAAAAATGGAGCTATTATGATATCGCTCGTTGGTAACTAAGTGTAGCGTGCTTCATAAATGATCGCTACAGAGAGAAACAACCGTTTAATGAAGAAAATGACTGATATTTTTCTCATAATATCAATCTGAACCCCAATGCCCGCTTCTATATGGAGTTTGGCGCATAACGTGAGTTCAGCTCGAAGATACGAATCGACTGATATGCAACATGACCCTTTTCGGTTAGGTCATAACCTTGACCCCGAGGTCCAATTTTCAAAATGACCTTTCAAGGTCAAACTATAGTTCATTCGACGCGTCTGGACGAGAGGAACACGCTGCTGACAAAATGAATGTCGTGAGTCGTGACTCTCTTGAGGCAAAAGTTATTACAGAAAACATTTTTCGTAAAACGGCTTTTTTAGTTTTTGCCCTCTCTAGGCTAAACCGTTGACTTGAGTTCAAATCTGAAAGCAATGCTCAGAAAGGCCGTTGAAAAAAATAACTATAGAATGCCCTTTCCGCGCCGTAGCTCTATTGGTTCCCGAGTTATGCGTCGGTGTTTCGAAAGTTGTTGAAATAGACAAAATTTGACCTTTGATGACCTCTGGCGACCCGACCTTTGACCTAACCTAAAAAATGACTGATGTTCTTCCTTCATTATTTTGTTACGCTCTTTTAGCGTAAAACAACATAATGAACACACCGCTTACCCGCGTGTTGCTGCGTGGCCCAGGAGCCGAGTTAGACGGGAGGAGCGTGACCCTCCCCCCCCCCCCCCCAAGCACATCACGGTAAACTCTTAACTCAGACCACCAGCACGGCGCGGGTTAAAAGTATACAGCAATAATGTCACAACAGATACAGTGCCCCTTCGGTGCACCGACCCACCTGGTAATCCGACTCCTGTGGCGGGTCCCGGTGGTGTGTTGAAGCAGGGCCGCCATCTCTCTCTGGTGAGCTGAACCTGAAATAAGAAAAATATAATCAGGCACTTTAGCATAGTTAATATCCGCGTAACAATCGATATCATATCAAAACTATCAAAATTCTCAGTCACGTTATTTTCTTGTACAGAAAAGTACACGCAAAAAAGCTGTGACTCACCTTTTCGTCCAGGTGTGAGATCGCTGGAGATTCCGGAGTTCGACGGAGGTCCGTTCAGTGGTGACCGGCTGGTGAACGGATGTCTGGTGTCAGCTGTACCGGAGCCATACTCCCTCCTGCACTGCCGCACCTGTCGGAGAGATAGCACGGCGTCAATGAGACGACTGAGAATATGATTGTCTATACGGGATTACGTTTGAGTGCAGGGTATGCATATTGTAGCGACGGAACAGAATAAATGTTAGCGACTGTAATAATAACTCAAAATGAATGACCTTTTCCTCGAATGTAGAAAGTTTAAATGTCGAAAATGATGTATTTAGGTGATGTACTTAAATACATCATTTTCGACATTTAACCTTCCAGGCGGTGGGGAATTTTTTTGCCCCCCCCCCCTTTAGTTTTTTCGATATATCTCGAGAACCGCTGCTCCGATCGTCACCAAACTTTCAGTACCCTCCCGGGAGTAGCTAGCGCACATGGTGACCAAAATTTTTTTCCAAAGGCTATGATAGGTTGGCCGCTAATGACGTCAGAGTGACGTCATTTTTGCCATTTTCGACCCAAAAAAAAAGGTTTCGCGGGAAGAGCTGTCAGGCCTACAGCTTTAGAGATACAGAAAAATGATTCAGACATAAAAGGTGTGGAATCAAATGGGCTACAAAACTGTAATTTCGGTTTTTCGAATTTTTTGGATTTTGACCCCCAAAAATAAACAAAAAATAGATTTTTTTTTAAATAATAGCCGAAAAATCCAAAAAGTTTTTTGAATTTCGAAAAAAAACGGAATATATGTGATAGTCCCTACCACCTTCTATCTACATACCAAATTTGAGATCAATACCTCTTTTTTGGTCAAGTTATAGCGAAAAAAACTGTTCAAAATTGATGACGTCAAATTTTCAAACTCAATTTTTAGCAATTCTAGACCTCGTAGCGCAAAACAAAGACCACCATTAGACTCCCCGTGACGAGTTGCATCGAATCGATACTCATTTTATGCAAAAATATCAACTTTGAAATTTGACCTTTTTTGACCTGACCTTGACCTGACCTCCACCAGAAAGTGACCTAAACCGTACCTGATGGTCTTATAACCAATACCATTGAGTTGGAAATGAAAAACTGGCCATAAAACATGCATCGCACAACCTTAGTAAAGTTGGGTTCATGTGGTGACCCTTGGTGACCTTTGGTGACCTGACCTGGTATGACCAGTGACCTCTAATAGCAACATATGTACTAGAAAACTGACGCCTTATCGCTGATTTTCGACAAAATGCGTTTTACTCGGTGTTATAGCACTTTCCCTAGAAGCTCCGTGAACGGTGAAACATTTTATCTTTGACCTGACCTGTGACGTCATCGGTGACCCCGAGGTCAATGAAATTTGGTTTCCTTCAACAAATTTGACAGGGCTATCGAACGCCGTTTGAATTTTCCGGATCCGTCCAGTAGTTTCGGAGATACGAGGGGGGCAAAAAAATGCCCCCCCCCCCCCACCGCGCGGAAGGTGGCTGGTAGACCCACCGCCTGCCGGGTTAAACTGTCCATATTCGAGGAAAAGGTCATTCATTTTGAGTTTATATCAGTGGCGGTCGCAGGGGGGGCCATCAGGGCCATGGCCCCCCAAAGGCAAATCAGGGGGGCCATCATATCATTTGGCCCCCCCCCCCAAACAACCGATGGGCCCCCATGGCCGTATGGGGCCTTGGCCCGTATTCGATTGTCACGTGGCTCGAGAAACCCACGCCAGCTATTAACAGCTCCCATACCGGTCTTTGAGGGTCCTACACTGACCTCTGAGGGCCCTTCAGTGGCGGTCAAGCGCCCACATTGACCGCTGAGGACCCACATTGACCTCTGAGGGCCCTCCACTGGCCTTTGAGGGCCCCTAAACCGGCCTCAGGGGCCCAACCGGCGTCTGAGAGCCTCACACCGGCCTCTGGTGGCCTCATTTTTGTCTCTCGAGTCCCAAGACTAGCCTTTAAGTGCTTCTGAGGGCCCCGCACAGCGCACTGGATTCTGAAGACCCGATGTCGGCCTCTAAGAGCCCGCATCGGCCTCCGGGGGCCCATCTTGGCCTTTGAGGGCCCTCCACTGGTCTCTGGGGCCCAACGCCGGCCCATGCCGGCCCACACTGACCTCTAAGGGCCCATGCTGGCCTGTAAGGACCCACATTAGCCTCTGGGGCCCCCCGCACTGGATTCTGAAGACCCAATGCCGGCCTCTTAAGGGCCCGCATCGGCGTCTGAGGGCCCATCTTGGCCTTTGAGGGCCCTCCACTGGCCTCTGGGGTCCAACGCCGGCCCATGCCGGTCTTTTAGGGCCCCACACTGACCTCTGAGGGCTCAATGCTCGCCTATAAGGACACACATTAGCCTCTATGGGCCCCGCACTGAATTCTGAAGACCCGATGCCGGCCTCTAAGGGCCCGCATCGGCCTCTGAGGGCCCATCTTGGCCTTTAAGGGCCCTCTGCTGGCCTCTGGGGTCCAACGCCGGCCAATGCCAGAAGTAGGGTCCTGTTCTGACCTCTGAGGGGCCCATGCTGGCCTGTAAGGGCCCACATTAGCCTCTGAGGGCCCCCACACGGGCTTCTGAAGACCCGATGCCGGCCTCTAAGGGCCCGCATCGGCCTCTGAGGGCCCTACTGGCCTCTGGGGTCTAACGCCGGCCCATGCCAGTCGTTAAGGGCCCCGCACTGACCTCTGAGGGCTCCATGCTGGCCTGTAAGGAACCACATTAGCCTCTGAGTGCCCAAGTCGGTCTCTGATGGCCTCAAATTTATTTATTATTTATTTATTGCACTTCTTAGGTTCATTCCACACATGTGTGGCTATTCCAGAGCCCGTGTCAAGTACATATAAAGACTAGACGTAAATGAGGTGAGCGGATCACATGCATACAGACATCACATCACTCATTGCACATCATACTCAATACATACAGTTCTATCACATCAGTGTCGTCCAAGGCGTCTCTACTGCTGCTGCAGCTGCTGCAGCAGCAGGTACTTGTGCAGCTCCTTTTTGAATCGGCTCAGGTTCATGGCTCGAATATCCACTGGTATGGTGTTAAAATCAGTCACAGTCGCGTAGGTAAAACGCCTCCTCCCTGCTTCTGATCGAATACTTGTCAGGTGAAGCATGCCATCCTGTCGCGTACTGCGCTGATGCACATCACGTCTGTACATGAGGTGAGTGGCGAGTGACTCGGGCTGGTCAGTGACCAGGGTCCGCTTTAGAAGCGTCAGTGAATGGTATCGGTACAAATTACGGGCAGAGAGCCACTCCAGATCGCGCAGCACGTCGCTAACATGGTCGAATTTACGTCGCCCTGATATAACTCGCGCCGCGAAGTTAAGCACTTTCTGTAGACGCCCTATCTGAGTAGCATTACACGATCCATAAACACTTATGCAGTACCGAACGAGAGAGATGACTAGACCATTGACTAGTGTGCTGAGCGTCGTTCGAGGTAAATGGTGTCTGCTGTGCGTAAGACCAATCAGCAGGCCTGTGCAGCGGCGTACGACGTCGTCAACATGGGCGGTAAAAGACAGCGTCTGGTCGAACACAACACCCAGATTCCGCACCGTGGGAGAGCCGGAGACAGTGGCACCCATAAATTTGATTCCAACCGTGGGGAGCTGCTTGAGATTTTGACGAGTCCCGAGGACCATGAGTTGTGTTTTCTGAGCGTTAATTTTCATACCGTTTTTGCCAAACCATGCCGACAGAAGTGACAGATTGAGTTCCATGGATGCAGTAAGAGTGCCAATTTCTCCGGGTCTCCCACTCACGATAACCTGGGTGTCGTCCGCATACTGCACTATGGTCGCACCGTCAGCGTACAGGGCCATATCATTCGCGTACACACTGTACAGTAATGGCCCGAGGGCAGTTCCCTGATAGGTGCCTATAGGGTTGGGCAGTGACGCTGACATGGTGCGGTAGCCACGCTGATCTTGGGCGACAACTCTCTGATAATGTCCGGTCAGGTAACTCTGAAACCACCGAGTGTCAACATTGTACAGGCGCATCTTATCCAAGAGTCTCTCATGTGGCACGACATCAAAACATTTTGACAGGTCTAGCATGCATAAAAGGGCTACCTCACGGGAATCCATGGCCTCGAACACTCTGTCAGTTACAGTTAAAAGCGCCGTGTCAGTAGAGTGGTTCGATCTAAAACCGTGTTGACTAGATGTGAATAGGCAGTGACTAGTAAAGTAGGAGTACAACTGTTCATAAACTACGCGTTCTGTAATTTTCGCGATTGTCGGAAGAATAGAAATGGGCCGGAAGTTAGACACATCGGTGGATTTATCCGTCTTCTGTACAGGGTGCACCAGAGCGAGTTTCCAAGAGCTGGGGACAGTATGATTGATGAGGCTCGAGTTGACAATATGAGTAATGACAGGACACAATGAGTCAATGCACTGTTTCACAAAGCGTACGCACAGTCCGTCAGCTCCACACGACGTACTGCTCCGCATACGGCCTATCACATGCCGCAGTTCCCCCGGCGTAACAGGTGACAGCTGAAACCGGCCAGTGGACACTCGCGGCAGTCGCACGGGCAGCGCCGGGCCCGCCGTGTCCACCTGCCGGGCAGTGGCGGTACCAATACTCGCAAAGTACTGGTTCACACTGTCCACGTCTGTGTCTGGCAGCTGTCTGGTGGTCCGTTTCCCAGATATGACGGGCCGCACACTGCGCCACAACGAGCTCGGTCCGTTCTCCCGTACCCGCCGCTCAATGTCCTCCCGTGTGTCACGACGGACGGCTGACTTGACCTGACGGTTGAGCTCCCGGTAACTGTCACGGTCCGAGACACGCAGCGCTGCCCGCCGACGGGCCATCAACTCTTTTGTGGCGGCTGTCACGGGGGGTGCCGTAGGGTTCCGTATTTTAACTCGCTTCACGGGAACTGCCCTTTGCAGGCCCTGTACTGGTCTCTGAGGCCAAACCGGCCTCTAAGGGCCCAAACCAGCCTCTAAAGGTCCCACACCGGCCTTTGATGGTCCCATTTCTGTCTCTGGGACCAAAACTGACCCCTATGTGCTTTTGAGGGCCCCGTATTGGCATCTGAAGGATCGATGCCGGCTTCTGAGGACCCATAACGGTCTTCAAGGGCCTCATACCGACACCTGAGGCCCCACACTAGCCTCTGAGGTGGCCCCAAACTGGCCTATGAGGTCTCTACACCGGCCACTGGTGGCCCTATTAACTGTTCTCTGGGGGGCTCAAGCCTTACCTTTGGGCGTCACGCACTTGCCTCTGAGGGCCCACATCAGCCTCTGTAGCCCTACCTGGGGCCTTTGAGGCCCTTCGCTGACCCTTAGGTCCAACGCCGGCCTCTGGGGGTCTTACACTGTACTCTAAGGGCCCCATTGAAGCCTCTAGGCGATAGGTATCGCCGAAGCGCTATCGATGGGCCCAAATTGTAGGAACCATGGGTGCAGTGGGCACAGTTGCACCAACAATAATTCTGCAGTTGGTGCAGACAATGTATTCTGCATCCACAATAATCTGGAACAAAACCCCCTTTTCTCAGCAACACTACTTTCCAGGCAGCACGACAAATTTAGGATATTTTGCCTACTATCCATCTTTCGAAGCATTTCCTACTGTAATGGTGCTTAAAACTTACATTTGTGCTCAAGTGAAAAAAAAAGAAACGGAACACATGTGATTGACCGCATACCGATGACCTACTGTCAAAAGTTTTAGCACGATATCTTCGAAAATGGCAACGTTAGCCGCCTTTATTTTGCGGTAGTCAATTCACAGCTGCGTGAATTATTGACAATATCAATGCTTCAAAATGCACTTATCAGTACCTTTTCGACATGGTACACCCTCAAAGCTCGCATGAGCCTCCGCTCGGGTACCTCCCTACCCCCTCCCCCCCCCCCCCCCCCCCGCTTCACCGGCCATTGCTGGATTTATGCACCCGTGCACTACGCCCGTGGGCCCCTTTAAGCTAGCACCGGGCCCCCCGGGCCAGTGCAGGGGCCCCTTTGCCAAGTTGGCCCCCCCCCAAACTCCAAGTCTGCGACCGCCCCTGTATTATAACAATATGTTCCTCGCAAGAGCACTCAACACCGTATCTTTAGCGACTGTAACACGAAACGAAAAAAGAAATTGCACTTTGCTTTGATGTGATGGGGAGGATATTGCTAAAAAAAATATCAATGCCGAGCCATAGGATCTATATGAAAAGCATCATGGTTTGTACAATAAAACTACTGTGCGCTGGTGTCAGGTGTGGTAGATGTAGTGCTGCGCCCGCCTCTGTGCGCCGACTCACCTGATAAACTGGCGTCATCATGACGGATATATCGGATCGTTTGGTGTGTTGGAGGCTGGAGCAGTGCCACCGTCCGCCTCGGTCCATCGGGTGAGCCTGAAAAAAACGGAGGAAAGGAATAATTCAATAATTATACATCTCGCAGAAGCCGTACTATAACGCTAAGATCGAGGAGATATCAAACTCTTTAGAAGTAAACGTTAGACTTTTTTGTTAATTACGAAGCTTAGTGCGAATATATTATTTGACTCGCCTTTCCGTCGAGATGTGAGGCCGCTGGAGGCTCCAGTGTTCGATGGAGGTCAATTCAGTGGTGACTGGCCGGTGGACGGACGTCTGGTGTCAGCTGTACCGGCGCCACACTCCTCGGCCCGATCTTACACTCACTCCTATACTGCCGCACCTGTCGGAGAGATGGCACGGCGTCAACACACGCTGAGAGGGTGGCTGGTAAGTTTGTAAACTCGCGGCGGAGTGTGAATATACGAGTGCTATACGAGTCGTATACCAAAGCAGCACACAGCCCATTTGTGATGCTTTTTTGAATGCGAGGAAATGCCCATAAACAATTGATGAAAACAAAACAAAATGATTCTGATGGTTAATTTGATGAGTGAAGAAAACACTACCATTACAATCTCGCTCATAGCTCCCTGATAGGTCGCGACGCCTGGAGGTATACTGCGCCGTATGGTTCGAATCCCGCTAATAGATATCGCTAGTGTACGGCACCTGAAGTTATGCTGTGCCGCAACGTTCTAATCCCGCTCACAGATGTCGCTAGTGTACAGCGCCTGAAGCTATGCTGCTGCGCCGCATGGTTTGATAACTGCTCATAGGTGTCGCTAGTGTACGGCGCCTGAAGTTATGCTGTGCCGCATGGCCACAAGGAGCTGGTGCGACTCATGGAATCATAGAAATTAAGACCATGGAACGGACGCCGGCGTTCGGGCAAACTTTTTGCACAGAATGTTTGAGAAATATGACGACACAAACAATGAGAAGCTCAGTTGTGAAAGCTGAAACGCCTAGTTCTGTCACATGATCCGGTGATCGGTGATCATGATGAACCTATGTTATGCCGATTAAATTAGAACTAAATCTGAGATTAGCGAAGGCTAACTTAACTCTAAAATAATTCTAGTTAGTATGAAGCGAAGTCGAACATTGCATATGACGAAGTTTGTTCAGTTTCCAGAGCATCAATTCAATGTGTGAATATATTTAAACATACCTTCTAAATAAAGTTTCAAAAGACTAACAAGTTATAACATTTCATTGCATAGCACAAAGGAACTTTCAATCATTAAAATATCGTCGTTTACTTACCTTGTAAAGTAGTCGAAATTCTTTCCACTCCCGAATCAGTCCTTCAGTCACCACGCCAGAAGCCGGCCGCACACGCCGAGCGCTGGTAGCAAAAGCTCGCGCGCGGGGCGGACCAGCCTCGCTCCGGCCGACCGGCAACCGCCCGGGGGCAGGTCGGGGCGGCAGGGGCGGCGCCAGGTGAGTAGGGTGGGGAGGGCGGCAGAAGACTCGTGGAACCGGCAGAGGCGGCGTCAGAGCCCTGTTTTATGGCACACCGTGCCCGCTAATAGCGCGTTTCGCGAGTTGACGTCATAGGTTGAGACACAGACTTCTTTCTATATATAGAGAAGTCTGTGGCTGAGATCATAAATATGCCATGCGACTGGGGTCCATGCACACCTTATTCATAAGCTTTCTAATGGCGTCAACTGTAGCTGTTCAATTGATGCCGTCAGCCAGTATTACTGCGTCCTTCTTCTTCTTCTTCGTGGATTAGGGCGCGTAGCCGTCAGGCTCAAGCGTCCAACAGTAGGTATTACTGCGTCCCAGTTTGTTGAAGTCCCCATGGAAGCCGAGCGCCAATAACGCTAGCGGCGTGCCGTGAAACAGGAGCGCTGTTTTTGTTTGTTTTGTTGGGTTAGGCCCTTTCGGTCCAATTAGACCATTTCAGAGCCGGGAGGATGATAGGATGTAGGGGGAGACATTGGTCTGGGCAGGCACCCTAGTGAGTCACCGGGGCTGAGCCCGTCCATAGGACAGGCCACCCAGCCCCAAGGTTCTCACTGCACCCGGCTACGGGGTGCGCTCCCTCGGGAGCAGCGGTGCCGCTCCAAGGGAGCAGCCCGCATGAGATAAAGTTGCCTGTCCAGCCCGGAGGGGGTAGCGGCATGGAGGAGAAGGATTTCAGCTTCCTGAGGATAGAAGCACGGAACGGTGTCAGGAGCGCTGTTCGGTCGCCGCTTTTTATCAGCAGGCTACCGGCCTCCTGTTATTTCTTGGCCTCTCATTGGTCAGTCACGTGGACTGTGCTAAGAAGTTGACCAATGAGAGGCCAGTAATCCCCCGATCCCTTGCTTACGCGTCTCTCTCTCTCTCTCTCTCTCTCTCTCTCTCTCTCTCTCTCTCTCTCTCTCTCTCTTTCTTCTCTTTATCTTAACTTTCTCTCTGACGGCTCATAATGAGGAAATACTTTATTTTCAAACCAATGACAAAGCGCAGAGGACCACACAACTCCTCACCGAAGTTCGCCCCCAGGTGAAACAGACTTCTAACCGACCGCACAGTGGACAAAATAACTACGCCCCCTGGCCAAAATTTCCAACAGCGGAGCAGGCGTCGCGAAAACAAAATCACAAAAAAAACACCCGCTGTTTATATTACTCAGAGACTTTTCCAGCAAATCCTTTAACTGCTCGTCACTCACACATAGGTACGTTGTAGAACATAGTGTACGACTGAGCATCAGTAGTTTGGATGGGTAAGACACGGTCGTGGTTAGATACGACACAATGCCTCATGGCCCGGAACACTTCGGCACTTTTAAACGACACGACCCCATCTCAGACCAACCTCTGAGATCTCTCAGTCTCTCCGAACTACCGTCATACATCCCACAATAAAGTTACAGCATGTCAGGGTTATTCCCAGCGGGATTCCATCGATGGTAGATCCGCGGGAACGCACTGTGGTGTTCTCAGTTCTCACAATGATGTTCTCACCAGCGCTCACACAGCTGATGCCCGATGTTCTCACAGGTATTTCCGCATGTATCCTCGCAGCAAACGTTTTCACGGATGCTCTCACAGCTGATGTTTCTCATAGGTGTTCTCACAGCTGTTTTCACAGGGTAAGAAGCTGTGAACGATACTGTGACCTGACCTCGTGAAGTGACGCCGAGGGTTATGGCCGGTCAGGTCACGTTGGATCAGGCGAGGTCAGGTCCGCTGACTGCTGGGCGTCGGGGGTCCCAACGGGTCAGCTTAAATCAGGTCCCGCTGAGTGCCGACTGCTGAGTGTCCCTCTGGGTCAGGGGTCAGGTCACCGCGGGGCAGGTCAGCTGAGGTTGGCCCACCACGAGAGCAGCCCCAGACCTGGCTCGTTCACGGTAGCCTGTGGACACAAACAAACAACAGGTGTCAGCCAGCGTATCAAACGCAAATAGACGCAAGTTCACAAAACGTAAAGCAAAAGTTGTACACAAAAACTACTGCGCAGGTGAAGTGCACTCTATAGGCAAATGATCAAACAAATATTGCAAAGAGTCACCTGCGGGCAAATAATTTAAATAAACTACCCTTTGCCGGACGACTGGCGGATAAAGCCTCTACCGCTCACCACCGACCGGTAACAGCGGTCACAACCAGACATGTGCATGGATCCGAGAAAATGGATCTGGGATCTGATCCCACGGATCCTGATCTCGGATCCGACGGGATCATAGATCCAGCTCTATAATTTATCGATAGATCCGTAGGGATCGCAGATCCGAGTCTCATTTTTTGCTTGAGATCCAGTGAGATCATAGATCCTCACTTATTTTTTGTCAACACATATATCCCAAAAAGCACTTGTTTCAACTCACAAACGTTCTGTTTAAGTGATTTTATGTGATCTCACGTCATTATCCATAGTTTTGTGTCACTTATTGGCATAGAAACCCTTTAAAACATGATTTCAAATGTGGTGCATGGTGGGATCCACTCAGATCATAGATCCATGTTCTTAATTTATCGTCAGATCATATGAGATCATAGATCCAAGATGTATTTTTCACGCCGGATCTGGTGGGATCATAGATCCCAACTTGTATTTTGCTTCGAGATCCACTGAGATCATAGATCAATCACTCGGATCCATGCACATGTCTGGTCACAACTCCTCTGCATTTCGAAACTCCTTTCTCTCTCCTCTCTTCATCCCTTCTCTTCCCCTCCCTCTCTCCATTCGTCCATCCATTCGTCCGTCCGTCCCGTCCGTCCGTCCGTCCGTCCGTCCGTCCGTCCGTCCGTCCGTCCGTCCGTCATTCATTCATTCACTCATTCATTCATTCATTCATTCATTCATTCATTCATTCCCCTCCTTCCCCTTCCTCTGACCGTGATGAGGTAGGGCGTGTGGCGCTGCTGGCCGGCCGCGGGGTCGGCGGGCGGCGCGGACGGCTCTGCCGGGCTCCGCTCCGGACCGGCCGGCGTCGTGTCCGTGAACGTCTCGGCCGCCACGCGGAACCGAACCTCCTCACCTGGAAAGAGCTGAGAGTCAGGGCAGAGAGCAGGGGACAGAGGCAATCAGAGTTCGTGGGCCCGATGCCACGTCGATTCACAGGCCAGAAAACGTCGTGGTAGTTGATTCATGTCTAAGTGGGTGGGAGGGCACTGTTCTTACGAACTCACTTTTTATTGTCATTTGTATCATAACTAAGTTCACATCCATGAGTTCAAATCGGTGTAGCGTTACTATGTGCCTTGTCAGCCTGTGCGGATTTGCATGGAAATATGAGCTAAGTTAAGCCGTGCTGAGCACTCTGTTTGCCGGCGTTGTGATACCCTGTACTGACATAACACCGTGTGGTGCTGACTGGAGCCAAGTCAATGGTAATGATTGCATAGCCCGTGAAGCATCACTCCGCTTTACGCCTACCGCTGCAGCATAAGCTCATAATAATAGCCGATAATCGTCAGCGTTAGTGTGCCACTTACGCGCCAGTGCCATTATGCCACGCAGTGTCCCAAAATTATATTTGGGCTTGGGTGTCTGAGGGGAATATTCGAGTCACTACAGAGAGGGCTGAGAGTGGAAAATTGCCTGCCAGAATGGCACCGAAAAAGAGCGGAAACAGGGACGAACAATTTATTTGTGAATTTCGGGGGATTTGGGAGCTGATTTATAGGATAGGTGTATCGAATATGGAGGGAGGTAAAAGGTACACGCAGATGCTCTTTATTGGTAAAATAGGGAGTGAAAAATTGTTCTGGAAAATTAGAGGTAAGAGTGGAAAATTATTTTGATTTGGGTGTCACTTCCCACCCGAACTGGCAAATTCTGGCTACGTCATGCCCTGTCGGTGCGCATACGAGCCGGTGCCCGGTGTGCAAACTCATGTAGCACTGCGCCCAGTTATGTTAAGTGTGATGGTACCGCGTGGTGCCTGATCCGTTGGCCTACATACCTAGCGTCAGTTATAATTTAGTCAGCAACTGTTAAAGGTAGTGTGCCACCTTTGAAAGATTTCCCATTTTATTTTTCCTAGGATAAGAAGCTTCTGTTTTTACCTAATATCGCAAAGAAAATCAAAAATGGGCCTGGAATAGTGCCTTTTTCGCCTAAAAGTTTAGCGGTTTTTCGATATGTTTAACAACTGTAGTGGGCTGACCTGCAAACAGGCGTCGGCAACAATCGCGAATGCGGCGCACATGTGACAATAAGCAAAGGTCATTATAGAGTTACGACGTACGGGAATGAGTTATCAGCTGTCTAATCGTAGACAACACAATGTCGAGCCTTTAACTGTAAGCCTGTATTGGTATTGTTTCTTTTATTTGGCTGTCGAACATTATTTATGGTTTGAAATATGATTTTATGTAAAATAATTGATATGAAAAAGCCGTCTCTTAAGTTATGACCCCATTCCACCACACGCAAGTGGCAGAAATGACAATGATCAGCTGACGCATTTTTCTTGGCCGAAGTCAGAGCGCGCGGCCCGACGCACCACCACCGCACCACAAAGTATGAGCAGAAGCCACGCCCAAAGCCAGGGCCCCGGTAACGTGAGGTAGCCGAGTCGGGGCAGCGTGCGCTGACCCAAGCCGGGGCCGCAGCTTTGGGCGCGGTCTACCGCATCCCCGCGGGCAGCCCCGGGCTATCACATGACACCGGGAGGACGCGCGGCCCCGGCTTGGGTCAGCGCACGCTACCCCGACTCGGCTAACTCACGTTACCGGGGCCCTGGCTTTGGGCGCGGTCTACCGCACCACCTAACAGGCGTGTTCGAAACCGCAGGAGATGATGATGAACGGGTTTATCGAAACTTGATTGGATGAGCATATCGGTAATAGCGATTTCAGTGTGTGCATTTATTGTTCATAGTGGTGTGAAATGTGGTTGGGGTACGACCGACAACCCGTCGGGGCGAATTTCGCACTGGGGTACTCAAAATTTGAAGAATTTAAGACGTTTCCATGAGTTTTGAAGGTATGGATAAGTTCTAAAAATCCGGTTCTCCTTATCTGGGCCATTAACTCCATACGGTCCAGGAAAGCTGGCACACTACCTTTAAGACAATTTGTGCTCTTAGGGTGCCCGGAAATAAGCGGTGCTCGGCGCGCCGCCGTCCACTGACCGGGATCCATGAAGAGGCTGTGTTTGCCGTCCTCGTACTCCCAGATCCAGACCTGCTCGGCCTCGTCGAACCGGGCCGGCTGCTGCAGCGCCGACGGCGGGATCAAAATGTCGTCAAAGAAACCCAGACTCACTGCAACCAGAGACGGAAAGCGGACGTGTTAAAAAGACGGAAATCATGGATAATACATATAACAGGCGGGGTCGTTTCAC